GCCGCGTCGGCACGACGCGGTCACCCTTCACCAAGGCGAGTGCAACTCGCCGGCGTGTGCGGGGCACTACTGCCTGTTGGGGCCCAGCATTTTAAACACCACAATCGCTTGTCCGCCCAGGGTTCAATCCGAGAAGAGCTGCTGCATGAAGCCAAGACCCCACAGCTGTACTGTTCATTCAGATGAAGCTAAAAATCGGCAGCAGAAGAATCACATCAAGCAATCAAAAAAATTAAGAGCTTTCTAACTCAGTAAAACTGGGTTCAGCTATTGCAGAAGCACAGCATTCAGTACAATTTGCTTTGCTAAAGGAAAATCCAGTGTGTATCTGTACAAAAACACCCCAATGCTTTAATTTCAAAAAATTATCTTTGGAAATGATCTCAAAAAAAAAAAATCTCAACTGGAATAACCTTAGAATAATTAACATGCAGCTGCTAATTTGACAAGCTGCTTTTAAAGCATCAGATATGGGAAAAAGACTTCAATCTGAGTCATGAAGTCTGTTACAAAGCCACAAGTGTTATTCGTGAACTGACAGAGATGTGCTTAATTGTGCCTTGACTTGGCTAGCTGGAAATACGGCCTTCGCTTTGGCCATCGCTACCTGTGTAAGCACTCAAATGATGGACTTGGCTGTGCCCCAGTTTTGAGAGTCCTGCTGGGGAGTCTGACCAGCAGATCAGCTCTTTGTGAGAGGGGAACACAGCCGGTCCCCGTGTACCGGTCAGAGGGACCCCCAGCTCATATAAATCCATGTTGCTTTCCTAATATCACTCCACTAACTGACTGGCTGACAGCAGAAGTAACTGTAATGACTCCTGAGGATTGAAAAGTTACGATGCTGATGGTCTTCCTGAATTGCCAAAGCATTCGAGCCGTGGCAGGCAGATGGGCAGGAACTCTGAGCTCCTTCTGCCTGGGCAGGGACTGCCACAACAGATCACTCTTTTTCCTTTAGCAAAGCTTTTACCGCGGCACGGAAACACAGTTTGCACATGTAACCTGCAGCGATGAGGGAACACAAGCGCCCATACAGTTACACAGGAACAGTAAAGTCAGACAGAAGGGAGTTGCTTGAACAGGAAATATTACATACCTACCCTAGCCTTAAAATAGCAGCAGCGTAAGTGAGCTCAAATGATAGCAGGAGAGGCCTCAGAGACCGAAGGAGTCGCTCCTGTCTCTAGAACACTTGTCTCATTCTCAGTTACCATTCACGTCTTACAGGAATGGGGAGGGAGATTCTGCTAATGGCGATCTTTAATGTCAGCGACCGATGTGACAGCAGGTAACAAAAGGTGCCGCATGGGAGTGAGACCGGGGCTCTGGGGGTGGGGGCTCCCTCTGAACTTGGGACAGGGGCCAGTTTGCTGCAATACCGTCACAGTTCGTAATCCCACCATCATCTACCTTGAGCAGGGCCCATGCTGGCGAGGCCCCCCCGCACAGCGGGGCGAGCCTGCCACGTCCTGGCGGGCAGCAGCCCCTTGGGCTGGCACGGAAACAGAGCAGTCCCTGTGAGCGCCCACCTGGTAAAAGCTGAGCCCGTTCCAGGTGCCAGGAAGGGGCTAGTGACAACGCTTGGCATGCCCAGCGCCCACACCGGAGGGCCATCTGCCTGCCTGCGGGAGCTGGAGAAGGCCAGCACACGTTTCTCAGCGTGTGGTCCTTTGGTGCTTCACCTCACTCTAGTTCCACTGCAACAGCAAAGCTTGACACTGTCTTCTCCACCGCAGACTTGAATGAGCACTGAACCCTTTTCAAAGCCTTTCTGTGACCAAATGCAGCAATAACCCAGTGCCCGATGCACCAGCCCAAGAACGCCTTCTCTTTGATTTGCTGCCTACTGCTGTCTCTGCTTAGCTGGTATTCAAGGTTCTGTACCTCTGCAGTCTGCTAAACGTGTACATTTTCCTGTGTCAGCTGCTATCTGATCAGTTCATGTCTGTGTATTTAAAGGAATACCTAAGGAGCAGAAAGCCAGTAAGAAATTACGAAATGGGCTGAACTCTCACAAAACTCTGCCGTGCTTTTCCTGGGGCAGCTGGGAGCTGTCACCTTGTACTTCCCAGTCCCTACGATACCTGCCTTTGGCATTTCACTTGAATTTATCAGGTGACAGTCCCAAAATGATACAGCACAGCAAAATGAGAACAGGAAGGCTATCGTAACAAAAACAGAACCATGTCTGTGCTGGAAAAACAGGAAAGAGGCTCAGGGAAGGTGATGTCTGCAGTTTTGTGGGACTGAGTGGTAACACATGGCTGGTGTGACAGAAGAGAAGCACTTTGAGTATACATCCCAAATGCTAACTGTGCCCAACTGCAGCGGTCCTGGCAGAGCCAGGCTGCTGAGAAAGCATCTTGCAGAAGCAGCGGTAAGCAAAGATGGGATCTTCTCAGCTCTTGATACCTGGATCCTTATTTCTAACCATCCTTCATCACCCCTACTCTGTCTCTTCCCTGCTTCTCCCACTGAATACTCTGAACTGCATTCCTGACAGAGCCCCAGACTGGTCAGGCCCTAGTCTGTGTGACACAGCCATAAGCTTGGGGCAGAGTCATTGCACCACTGACGTCACCCCAGGCCCCAGTGCTGTCTCTGAGACCAGAATCTGGACTTATTTTCTAGGTCTCTTTACAGTCTTTTGATGTGGAAGCTGCTTCTTGCTCTACGTCCCCGTTGTGAGGCACGAGGCTGCCTGTACCTTACTCTCATCTCTTTTGTAGGTGTGCTTAATTCACTTTTTAAGCTTTCTCCCCCTGCAGCCGGGGAGCCTAGGAATAGGGGAAAGAGCAGGCACTGGCTGGCTTCAGAGTTTGTTGCAGAGCAGCACCAGCACTTGACTCCTGGCTCCTGGGTAGTTCCAGTCACTGAGTGTGTGAAAACCTCCGAAACCTTCCCCAGAAGTGCTCCGTGAGGCTGCGCAGCCAGGCACAGAGCAAGCTGACACCCCTCTCTCCTGGGCAGGACCGTGCCACACAGCCCACCTTGTCCCCAGGCTGCTCAGATGAACGACATTCAAGGAAATTCTCTCTCTATTTAGAAACTTGTTTCAATCCAATCAGGCTTTACCTTTTCTGCTTGGCTGAGCTCGTCCTTATTCCTGAGCTTATCCCTGTGCTTGGAATCTGGGTCAATGCTTTCATCTTCTAAAAACTGCATGTTCATATTCAAAAGCCAAGCAGCAGTGCGGTCCAGGGCATTGGGGTTCACAGGAGAAGGGGCCTACAATGAAACATACAACCATAACAAAAGAAAAACCTGTAACAGAAATGGTCATCAAGCTGGAGAGGAGAATTTCCTTCCAAGCAAGCCCTCTCCCACGCTGCTCCAACAGCAACGAACAAGTCTGAGCTACCAGAGCGGTCAGGGCTGGGGGGCAGGAACAACTCCTATTCTGCACCTGCACGTTGTCTTAGGCCAAATTCCTCCCTGTGCCACCCCCCAGAACAGCCGTACAGCGGTGCCCTGCAGTGGGGTCCTGCTGCACGTGACGGGCCCACGTTTCTGAGCAGGTCCTGCCACCTCAGAAGGACACGACCCAAGAAGGCGCCGAGCTGCAGGCAGGCAGAGTGACTTGACGTGGTGGTCACGCCACAGGCGAAGATGTCACTCAACTCTTCAGCCTCTTTTACTGAGCCGTCTTTTTGCTCGCTGTGGAGATCTTGTACAGATAAAACCAGATCTGCAAACTGAAATGCTACTTTTGGTCATACAGGTGCCTTCTTGGAAAATAAAGGTTTCTTTTTGGCTGAGACTACACTGATGATGCTGGAGAGGTCTAAATGCTCGACGTCACAGTAGTTCTCTAAGTTTGTTCATGTAGCTACGGGAGCTCAAGCAGCAGTGCTGTTCTGCAGACATGGAGCTAGAGCCACGGCTGCTGCTTTTCAGTCCTAGCCTGGGCAAGGACTGCAAATGGCATTGCCTAAATATTTTCCAACCACATTACAAAGTTGAGGAAGTGAATCTCCAGCTACTTCCTCATCATCCTGGCTCATTATAAACGGCAGTAAACAGTTTCTTGGATGAACACAAAGGATCTGGATGATCTTGGTTAAGGGAATTCAAGTGAAGTAGTTGGAAATGTCGAGGACTGTCTCCTTTGCTCCAAGCTCTGGACATTACAGAATCCCAGTCACTGGCAAGCAGTAGAATGGGAGGTTCTGTACTCAGACGGAGTGGGGACTGGTTTAATCACTCACTGGGGCTGGGGGCTTTCCCATGCCATCTTCCAGTCTGGTCTTTAAGACTCGGCTCATGAACATCACTTGCTACAAATCCTCACGCGGCTTGTGGCTTTCTGCTTTTTCTTGCATCTCCAGCTCGGGCACTGCACCTGTGGTGGCTGCTCAGAATTTCTGGCTCTGAGGAGCAGTGGCCACCCAGGTTCACTTCAGCAGTGTAAGGGCCACTGGTGAAGCATGTCAATGAACAGAGCTCAGCCCACTGTGCACAGGTCCTTCTGCCTCTTTCTTCCTTCTCTGAAGAAGTAAAAAAGGACATCTGATCTGGCCTGGGACAGTTTAGAAGTCAGTTCAGCACATGAACTGAAAGAAGCAGAGGAAGCACTTCTGGCTGGTAGGAATGAGGTTCATGGACTTCTACTAAAATGGCCATCAAATGGGACTTCTTTGCTCTCAAACAGCATTTAATACCACCAACTATGAGCAAGCAGTTTCATGATGGTTTACAGATGCTGCTAACATACAAGTAAAATGTGCAGATTAAGGGTAGAAGAGGCATTCTGAGGACTTCAGGTCTTGAGAGGAACTTTGAGAGGACAACAGGGGCGGGTGGAGGAAAAGGTCTGCAAACACAACTTGGCCAGGGCTTTCCGAAGGTCACCCGGAGTTCAATGTTGTCTTTCTGGAAGAAGCTCTGCTACCAAACAGGCTTCTGCTGCTTGCAGAGCTCTGTGCCCTCTGTACCTAATGAGTATTGATCCATATTATACAAATGCTGCTACATGGCATGCCTGCTAATGTCAGCGCTTGCGGATCAATACGGTATGCACCGAACAGCTCCAGATGGGGCTGATCAAACAGCCTTCAATGGGCAGCGCTGACAAAGGCCTCCACGGCTGCCTTAGAAAGGAGAGGTAGTTACACCAACTCTGTCACTCGTTCAACACCATACTGCTGAAAAGCTGCCTTAATACTGTGTCTGGGCTGAGATGCAGCGAGCTCTTGCCAGTTGTCCACGTTTTCTGGGTCTGCATTACTTTTAAAACTCTTCCTTTAGGCACTGAGGCCCTACTGTGTTGATTTTCAATAAGGTTAGTTCTGAAACGTAGGATGAATAAATGAACACTAGAAAAAACAATTTATCCATGCCAGGAAAACCAGAGGGCCCTGGGTCTGTGACTTACTGATTTCAATTTTAGCACCACAAATAGCAAAATTTATTTCTGTGCAGACCAGCACGCGGTCTGGGGCCTGAATCACTGCAGAGCTCTGCACAGCGGGAGCTTCGCTCTCGATGGGGAGCACACGCCTCCCTTATGGCTCTCACCTCCCCAGATGCACTTATAGGAGAGTCTCGCACAGCGAACAACCAGCAGTGTCCAGGAGTGCCGTGGCTCCGCTGGGACAGCAATAGCAGCAGGGAGACTCAGTGACAAGAGAAGATTAGGGCCCGGTCCAAGTCTGGGAGATGGCGCAGGGTTGAACTATGGCATGGGATGAGAGCCTGGGCATGGAGAGGCAAAGCAGTGACAAGATGGTAGTGCAGGACAGAGGCATGGCCGCCATCGCCCTCGTGTCTCTGCTACCTACCCCTTGCGGCAGTCACACGCCAACGTGTCACGCAACGGAGGAACACAGAGGACGAACGCTGATCTGCGTCCCCGTCCTCGGAGGGCCTCCGTCTCAGGCCAAGCTGGGTGCAAGAGCCAAGGTACACCCCCACATGCAAAGCCACCACGGGGTTGGCACTGATGTGGTAACGGGGGCCGCAGTGATGTCCTGTCCCATTGC